TTTTTTAAATATATTTCCTCCCCATCCCGTCCTCTCCCCCACTCCATCGAACCACATACCTCCTCACTAACAACGTCCTCATTCATTGTACTTTGTTCCCACCCCGTCCACATTCACTGTACTTCGTTCCCTCCCTGTCCACGTTCAATGTACTTCGTTCCCACCCTGTCCCAATACTGTACTTCCCGACCCCGTTTCTGTCGTCCCCTTCGGTCACTCCTTTCCTCCTCCCAGCCCTTCCACACTCACTCTCCAGAAACGCTCTCCACCGGTTCGAACCCATGCCCTTCCCTGCAGGATCGCGTTAACCCCACACGGCGACCTGGCAGCAAACGAGATCCGCATTGTCAACATTCAGCGAGGGGCGCCCGTGGAAGTGGCTCTTTGGTCCTCCTCCCTCGGCCTTGTCCCCTCCTCCTCCCGCTCTCCCACCCCAACCTCTCCACCCTCCGTCGCTTCCCCTGCTCCGCAGCCAGGGCCTGTCGCAGGCCCCAATGCACAGGTTACACCCTCATCCCTTCCTCCCGCCCAGCCCCTCGACCCTCCCCCCATCTCCCCCCGCTTCCCCTGTGTTGATCCCAGGCTCGGATTGAGGCTTCACCTCACAAGTTGATTTCGCATTGTGCCTCTCTAGTCGTCATGATCACTGGTTGATCCCAAACTGGTTCGGCCCGTACCACGTCGATCTGACCCAACTAGGTGGTTGAACTGACAAACAGGCACAAGCAAGAACCACCTCTTGTCAAACCAACATGAGGGCTCGTTCGAACGAATCGGTACAAGAAAGCAGGGACGGGCAGGGCAAGGCAAGGCAGCATGCTCGGCATTTCTAGAGCCCACCAACTAGTGATTCTGGTAGGTGCCGTTGCCTCCCTGTTCTATCGGTTGGTCTAAGTTCTAACTTGCGATTCTGGGTGCCGTTGCCTCCCTGTTCGGTTCTGTTGTGCAGACTTTAAATGCTCTTCCAATCATCTTCCCTGGAGGACTCACCCAGGTAGGTACATCGGGGAGGGGGGGAGGGGGGGGAGGGGGGGGGGGGGGGGGGCGGGGGGGTGTCACAGTATCAGCAGCACTCGCAGGCTGGCTCTTTTGTTCGCCTGGAGGGGCAGCACCGGCTGTTGTTTCTCCTTGTCTTTGTAGCACTGTGTGGGTTGTTCTGGGATTGCAGTGGTACAAACAAGCACTCATTGTTGCACAACTTTGCTCACCATATCTCGCCCCTGCCGTTGCCCCTGCCCCTGCTCCTGTTCCTGTCCTTGCCCCTGCTCCTGCCCCCGCCTTCACCCCTGCTCCCTGTCTCCGCGTGTGTCGCTGTCTGCTGCAGGCGCCAGCAGGATCATTCCCCAAGACTCGCCTTCGGATTGCAGTGCCCAACAAACAGGTGCTTCCATACTGCAGTGCAGGTCAGCATTATAACACACTGATCTTTTCAACAGTTGTCTTGTCCTTATAAACAGGAATCCTTATAAACAGATGTCGTTATAAACAGGTGTTTTTTTTTACCAGGTGTCCTTCAGCAAGTGTCCTCATTTACAGGCGTGCTTATAGGTAATCATTCTTTCCCAGGTGATCACTTATTTGTAAGCTAGTGAAGTCTCATTCTAACCCCGTTCCATGCCTCCCCGTCCCTCCCCGGCCTTTGAGACGTCTCAAAAGTTGTAAGCTAGTGAAGTCTCATTCTAACCCCGTTCCATGCCTCCCCGTCCCTCCCCGGCCTTTGAGACGTCTCAAAAGTTGTAAGCTAGTGAAGTCTCATTCTAACCCCGTTCCATGCCTCCCCGTCCCTCCCCGGCCTTTGAGACGTCTCAAAAGTTGTAAGCTAGTGAAGTCTCATTCTAACCCCGTTCCATGCCTCCCCGTCCCTCCCCGGCCTTTGAGACGTCTCAAAAGTTGTAAGCTAGTGAAGTCTCATTCTAACCCCGTTCCATGCCTCCCCGTCCCTCCCCGGCCTTTGAGACGTCTCAAAAGTTGTAAGCTAGTGAAGTCTCATTCTAACCCCGTTCCATGCCTCCCCGTCCCTCCCCGGCCTTTGAGACGTCTCAAAAGTTGTAAGCTAGTGAAGTCTCATTCTAACCCCTTTCCATGCCTCCCCGTCCCTCCCCGGCCTTTGAGACGTCTCAAAAGTTGTAAGCTAGTGAAGTCTCATTCTAACCCCGTTCCATGCCTCCCCGTCCCTCCCCGGCCTTTGAGACGTCTCAAAAGTTGTAAGCTAGTGAAGTCTCATTCTAACCCCGTTCCATGCCTCCCCGTCCCTCCCCGGCCTTTGAGACGTCTCAAAAGTTGTAAGCTAGTGAAGTCTCATTCTAACCCCGTTCCATGCCTCCCCGTCCCTCCCCGGCCTTTGAGACGTCTCAAAAGTTGTAAGCTAGTGAAGTCTCATTCTAACCCCGTTCCATGCCTCCCCGTCCCTCCCCGGCCTTTGAGACGTCTCAAAAGTTGTAAGCTAGTGAAGTCTCATTCTAACCCCGTTCCATGCCTCCCCGTCCCTCCCCGGCCTTTGAGACGTCTCAAAAGTTGTAAGCTAGTGAAGTCTCATTCTAACCCCGTTCCATGCCTCCCCGTCCCTCCCCGGCCCAGCCAGCAACACAAAGGAAGGAGTATGTGAGGCTGGCAATTACGTGCTAGGCCATGGAAATATCAAAGTAGCTCATTCCCTCCTTCCCATGCCTTCCCCTCGTTCTCCCCGCCAGCAATACAAGGAGTATGTGAACGTGTCGGATGCCTTGGGGGAGGGCAACAGCCGCTTCTCGGGCTACTGTGTGGAGGTGTTCCGTCTCGCCGTTACGCGGTTACCCTACATGCTTGACTATGAGTTTGTGCTGTACGGTGATAAGGACCTCAGCTACACACAGATGGTGCTGGCCGTTGCCAACCAGGTGCGCCCCTCTCTTTTTTAGGCACCCTAAAGAAAAGAGTCCTTCCGCCTCGCTGTGTTGCCCCACTAGCTCGACTACTAGCCCACTAGCACTAACCAACACAATGCTATAATTTAACATCCAGTACGGCAAGGTTCTCAGCTGCCTCACACGAAGAAGGTTACTCGCACCCCAAAACCCTGTGCCCTGTGCTGCCCTGTGCTGCCTTGTGCTGCCCTGTGCTGCCCTGTGCTGCCCTGTGCTGTCCTCTGGTGTTCCGTGCTGCCCTGTGCTGCCCTCTGTTGCCCTCTGCTGCCCTCTGTTGCCCTCTTCTGCCCTGTGCTGCCCTCTGCTGCCCTCTGCTAACCTATGTTGCCCTCCTCTTTGCACCCCTGGCTGGCTGGCAGACGTACGATGCAGCAGTGGGGGACATCACGGTGCTGGACTCGAGGAGCAAAGTCGTCTTCTTCACCTACCCCATCCAGGTACCAGCACGTGCTAGACCTGTTGGTGCTATTCCATCTTAAGTGGGGGCATGTGAAGTGGGTTCATGTGAGGTGGTGGCATGTGAGTTGGGGGCATGTTAGTTGGGAGCATGTGAGGTGGGGGCATGTGAGGTGGGAGCATGTGAGGTGGGGGCATGTGAGGTGGGTGTTGACGAGAAAAGGCCCCGCCCTCGCTTGGGCGAAGCCGACTTTGTGATCGGTCAGGTTTCGTGGTCGACTCCGACTTGTAGGAGCAAGTTGGTCTGGTTGGTTGACCTCGGCGGAGCCGACTTCTGGGTTGACCGACTTCGGTGAAGCCGACCTTTTCGAAGCCGACGCCAGCGAACAGCTAAGCCCGACTTCGTTGTCCGGTGTGCAAGGTGTGCAGCCGGCTGCGCTTCGTGATCAGCGCCGACTTGGAGGAGCAAGTCGGTTTGGTTTGCCGACCTCTGCGGTAAGCCGACTTTGGCAAAACCGACTTGGCGAGGTTGACTTCGGGCGAAGTCGGCATCGCAAGGTCGACTTCAGGCGCAATGAACTTCGGCATAGCCGACCACAGCGAAGCCGGCCACAGCAAAGCCCGCCACAGCGAAGCCGGCCACAGCGAAGCCGACTTTGACGAAGCCGACTTCGGCGAGGCCGACCTTAGTGAAGCCGGCTTGACACTGGCCGACGAAGGTGGTCGTTGACATGAGGTCAAACGACGAGCACCAAAGTCCGCGCCGACTTAGCGGCCTCTTCTTGTCGACCAAGTAACATGGTCGACGAAGTTCTGCGGATGCGCAAACGTCGTCCATGTGGTTTTGGCGAAGTCGACTTGCGTGTTGGTAGCATAAGGTCGACGTGCCACATATGGGAGCAACCGTCGACAAGTGGTCGACCTGGGCATTTGCGCAATGTACCTGACGGGCAAATGTCTACCTGCACCTACTTGGTAGGTGCGCACATGTGCGCGCAAGGACACCTGCAGTTGCGACGCTGGTAAACCGCCTTGCTGCAACGTTGGCAAGCTGCCTGGTGCAGTGGTGGCAGCTTGCCGATTTGCAGTGTTGGCAAGCCGCCCTCATGCTGTGCTGGAGGTCGACCTGCCTGCTTGCCAGGTTGCCTTGCATCTGATGTACTCACCTTTGCCTAACCATTGTGTACCATTATTCTCTTTCTGCTAATGAAACTCTTGCCAACTTTATATATGAACATATATTTGAACACGCAATCAGTGAGAATACGAGCAAAGTTTCGATCACTCGTACCACCAGTGCCTTCCCACGTAGTCTAGTTACTCCGGTGTAGAGTGACTCTCCGTAGTGGGGGCATCTGAGGTGGGGGCATGTGAGGTGGGGGCATGTGAGGTGGGAGCAGAGCATGTGAGGTGGAACATGTGTTTGGATTCGACCATTGGGAACTAGGCTACTTATGATCATGGTTCTGATACACCACCTTTGCTGCTGTTGCCCCCTCCATGTTCCTCCCCTTCCCATGCTTTTCCAGAAATCTGGGCTGGCCATGACCTGACTTGGCACCAAACCCTGCATTGCCTGCTTCACTGTTGACCCCTAATCAAACACAAACTCACTCACACACACACACCACCCCCGCTGCTGTTGCCCTCTCCTCCCTCTTGTCCCTTCCCTCCTTCCCTTTCTCGTGCCTCCTCTCCCAGCAATCGGGGTTGAGCGTGATGGGCTACTCGCGGCCATACAGCAATCCATGGATGGTCTTCTCCCCGTTCACAGCCTCCATGTGGGCCGTCACTGCAGCCATCTGCCTCACCACAGGGCTGCTAGCCGTGATGCTGGATAGGAAAAGGACGCCTGACTTCCAGGGCACGTTGCAGAAGCGCCTCATCACAGCCGTGTGGTGAGTGAGTGGGCTGGAACTTGGTGGTGTTTACGTGTATCTCTCTCTCTCTCTCGCGCGCGCACACACACACACACACCCACACCCACCTTGTACCATTGGTTGTCCCTCCCCCTCTTCTCCTTGCTTGCTTGCAGGTATGGCTGCCACACGTTCTACTCCATTCCAGGTGCGTCCCCTCTCCACTACTTCCCACCTCTTCCGACCCCACTCCACTGCTCACCCTCCCTGGTCCTCTCCTCCCCTACCTCCCCACTTGGCATACTCTCACATGCTAATGCCAGTTCACTGGTTTTACTAATCCCAGCTCAACAGCCAGTGCTACTCAGCCTAACTTCTCAACCTGTACTCGTCTCTCTGTGTGCTGTGCCTCCATCCACTGTCTGGCATCCTCTCAATTGTCCTTTTCTGCATGATAATATGCGCACGCAATGTTTCCATCCGTGTGTGTGTGTGTGTGTGTGTGTGTGTGTGTGTGTGTGTGTGTGTGTGTGTGTGTGCGTGCGTGCGTGTGTGCGTGCGTGCGTGTGTGTAACGTGTGTGTGTGTGTGTGTTTGTGTGTGTGCATGTGGGTGTGCGTGTGTGCGTGCGTGCATTTGTGTGTGTGTGTGTGTGTGTGTGTGTGTGTGTGGGTGGGTGGATGTGTGTGTGTGTGAGTGTGAGTGTGTGCCTCACCTCCCTACAGTGTTCCGCATCCACACGACGCTAGCAAGGGCGGTTGTATGTATCTGGCTGCTACTAGCGTGGATTATAGCCAACTCATACGTGGCCAATCTCACCTCCATCCTCACCATGCAGAAGCTAATTCCCCAAATCCTGGTGAGCCTCCCTTTTGAGACGTCTCAAAAGTTGATATGGCTTCTGCTGGCCTTCATATTAGCCAAGCCAATTCCTACATTGCGAATCTCACTCACCTCCACCTCACCATGCAGAAGCTGCTTCTGCAAGTCCTGGTGAGGCTCTCTCTTCACTTATAAACAATCACTCACCCTCGTTGTAGTCACTTCGATTCCGTTCGGACGATACATGAACATTCAACGTCAATCTCGCTCCCTATGAGCACGCGCTTGTTCGGTAATAATTTTTCCTCCTCTAGGTGAAGAGCGACCTTCTCATCAATCCAATCCTAGGTTCTCATGCATCCCTTCGTACCCCCCACACTGCATTCGCACCCTGCAACGCCTCTCCGTCTCCTTGCGGCCTGCGCAGAGGCGTTTTTCCCCTGGAACACCTTTCAACACCTATCACTCCCTGCAGCCTTGCACCCTCCACCCTACGCCCACCCCGCCAAGACATCTACTCCGCCCTCACCAGCAACTCGCCCATCGGCTCTCAGCAGTTCTCCTTCCTCATGCACCTACCTTTCCAGATTGCTGGCACCTCATGCATGCATGCTTGCGCCTCTCTGTCGCTCTGCGACCTGCCCTGGAGGCACCCTCCATCCACCCATCCCCCACCAGAAAATCTACTCCACCCTCCTCCACCCATCCAGCCCCCTCCAGGACATCTACTCCACCCTCACCCACAACTCCCCTATTGGCTACTAATGGGGCTCTTTTCTCAATAAATGTGTGCCCACACCTCTCATTCTCGCTGCATGCATTCATGCTTACGCCTCTCCACCTCCCTACAACCTACCCATGTGCCCTCCACCCACCCACCCCCCACCAGGACATCTATTCCGCCCTCACCAGCAACTCACCCATTGGGTACCAGCAAGGCTCCTTTGTGCACTCGTACCTGCTGCAACTAGGCGTTGCATCTGTGAGTGCATCATTTGTTATGGTCACAACAGGCCCAAGTGTGCCTAAAACGAAAGATTTAGTGCACAAACGAATTTCTGCAGAGCGGCTTCAAACGTTGACAGCGCATTAGTTTCTGAATGAAATGATATGCTATGAATTGAGTCTGTAGTGTCGAGATGTCGTCCAAAATCAGCAAATTAATTGCTCGATTTGATATAGAATAGACGACGCTATGATAGTTTGGACGAACGGCGGTCTAGCAGCAACTCTAGTCTTAAAGTACAAAATATGAAGAAATTCGAGTTGGGAATGACTCACAGCCTCTACCAACCCCAGAAGACGAGGTCCAGTGAGATGGAACAGTGTCACACATTCTCAAACCTCGAAAAGTGTGGAAGTCACTTACCACATGGGCGTATATATAGAAAAATATTACACTACACAATGCAATATAGTTATATTTTTATTATTTTAATGTTTTCCATTTTCGCTAACCCCGATATTACTTGGAACTTGAAGCCACGGCTTGGAGTAATCTCATAAAATGGAGAAGAGCTCAGGCACCTCATAAGTGCAGCTTGTTATAATAATAAGCAATACCTGCACAATGCTCTACCTCACTCTATCCCCTGCCTCGATCTGTGCACCAATGCCTGCCTTATCTCACCATACTCTCTTTTTTTCATCAGGACAAGCTGGTGTCGCTGGCAGGGGAGAGTGAGTACGCATCATCCCTCTCCTCGGGGCAGGTGACGGTGATAGTGGATGAGGACCCCTACCTCGACCTCTTCTCGGCGTCCTTCTGTGATGCCGTCCAGGCGTCACAGCCCTTCTCCATCCTCAACCTCGCCTTTGTGGGTGCTGTGTGGCCACACGTGGTGCATGGGGTGCATGTGCACAGTGGCATGGCATGTGTCCATGCTGAAAATTGGTTGTTGGGATGTGGTTGTGAGGATGGGGATGTATATGCCCACGCATGTGCAATTTCATTGGTGTGTTTGTGCATGTGCATCTCCCATCCACATGCCCGCTATTTTTTGTTTTAAGGGTTTAGTTTTTGTTTTTTTGTTTTTTTTTGTTTTTTTCATGTCCCTTGGGACCGGATCCACATCAACATCAGCCATGCCTCTCTGCAAAATGAGAGACCCACACCACATCCCTACTCCATTCCTCGCTTTGCTAGAATGAACTGCATTTTCTTTCCCTTTCTTCGCTCCCTTCTCACCCTTCGCTCCTCTCCCTTCCTTTGCTCCTTTCCCTCCCCTCACCACTTTCTCCCTCTTTTCTCACCACCATTGACCCCCAAGTCATATCCTCTTTCCTCACTCCCCATCCCCACACCCCGCATTCCCCACCCCTCCCTCCCCCGCTCTCCTCTCACCATCGTCACCCCACAGGCATTCCCCAAGGAGTCACAGGTTGGGGCAGACATATCTCAGGCCATCCTCGAGCTCACGATGCAGGGGGAGCTGGAGCGCCTCAAACAGCAGTACTTGCAGGTGGGTGGGCAGTACTTGCAGGTGGGTGGGCAGTGCTTGCAGGTAAGTGCAGAAGAAAAGTATGAGGGTTGGTTAACTCGGTAGGCCAGCCCTGCAGTGTTGATGGAGGTGAACGTGCCGAAGCTCTCTGCACTTTTGCTGAGGTTGATTATGAGAGTTCGCAAAATCGACCCTGTCTTTCGGTCAAAGTGCAGAGGTCAACGGAGGTCTTCTATTCCCTATTTCCTGTTCTCCCTTTCTCTCTTCTCTCTTCTCTCTTCTCTCTTCTCTCTTCTCCCTTCTCTCTTCTCCCTTCTCTCTTCTCTCTTCTCTCTCCTCTCTTCTCTCTTCTCTTCTTCCCACTCGCCTCTCCACCCACCCCGCCTCCCCTCTGCAGAAGGACAACATGTGTGTGGATGATCAGACGGCCTCAGCAGTGTTAACAGAGGTGAACATGCACAAGTTCACGGCTCTTCCCTCGTCCCTCGTCTCTCTTCCCTCTTCCCTCTCCATCCATCCCCTCTGCAGAAGGACAACATGTGTGTGGATGATCAGACGGCCTCAGCAGTGCTAACGGAGGTCAACGTGCAAAAGTTCTCAGCGCTGCTCATCCTCTACCTCGTTGTCTCGCTGCTCTGCTGCATCGCCTATGTGGGTCTCCTCATCTACCGCGGTTACCGCTACCACCACCGGTACGACCTGGTTAAAGCAGTGTGGTTAAAGTTGCACTACTGTATAATCTCTTTATTTATGTTCACCCAGTAAGCACTCTGCTGCATCGTCTATGTGGGGCTGCTCATATGCCGCGGTTACCGCTACAACAGGTACGACGTGGTTACCGTTACGTCCGGTAGGCCTGTCCAGCTATGTTGCACTATACGCGATTGGCGTACCAATCGCGTTCGAACTATACGCTCACGTACGAACGTGAGACGGGGGATTTCCGCCCCACGATACGCTCCAAATACGTTCGCCCGGGCAGAGGGAAAAAAAGTTTCGTGCAGGGGAAAAGTAGTGTCAGGGGGTGAGTCGTGTTGCCTATGTTCATTGTGTTTTTGCCATGGTGGTTTTTTCCCCACTTATGAATTTGTTTTCCTCATTACAAACATGCATTGCATTGCAAGTACACGCACACATACTAGCAACTACTTGTCTGATTCCTGACTTTCTTACTCCACGTACTCATCGGCCAGCACGGCTTCCTCCTCCTCCTCCTCCTGCTCCTCCTCCTCCTCCTCCTCCTCCTCCTCCTCCTCCTCCTCCTCCTCCTCCTCCTCCTCCTCCTCCTCCTCCTCCTCCTCCTCCTCCTCCTCCTCCTCCTCCTCCTCCTCCTCCTCCTCCTCCTCCTCCTCCTCCTCCTCCTCCTCCTCCTCCTCCTCCTCCTCCTCCTCCTCCTCCTCCTCCTCCTCCTCCTCCCCTTCCTCCTCCTCCTTGTATCCCTCCGGCAGAGGGGGAGCAGGGATGTTGCCCGGAAGCACCGCCAGTGACTCACCCCTCTTGTGGTACTTGTGGACCATAGGCCAGTTGTGGACCATAGTTCAACAGAGAACAAACGGGAGGCTAGGAAGAACTGGATGAGAATTGTGTTGAAGTGGGGTGAATTTTTTGAGTCGACTCAAAACTAGGAAGAACTGGATGAGAATTGTGTTGAAGTGGGGTGAATTTTTTGAGTCGACTCAAAACTAGGAAGAACTGGATGAGAATTGTGTTGAAGTGGGGTGAATTTTTTGAGTCGACTCAAAACTAGGAAGAACTGGATGAGAATTGTGTTGAAGTGGGGTGAATTTTTTGAGTCGACTCAAAACTAGGAAGAACTGGATGAGAATTGTGTTGAAGTGGGGTGAATTTTTTGAGTCGACTCAAAACTAGGAAGAACTGGATGAGAATTGTGTTGAAGTGGGGTGAATTTTTTGAGTCGACTCAAAACTAGGAAGAACTGGATGAGAATTGTGTTGAAGTGGGGTGAATTTTTTGAGTCGACTCAAAACTAGGAAGAACTGGATGAGAATTGTGTTGAAGTGGGGTGAAGTTTTTGAGTCGACTCAAAACTAGGAAGAACTGGATGAGAATTGTGTTGAAGTGGGGTGAATTTTTTGAGTCGACTCAAAACTAGGAAGAACTGGATGAGAATTGTGTTGAAGTGGGGTGAATTTTTTGAGTCGACTCAAAACTAGGAAGAACTGGATGAGAATTGTGTTGAAGTGGGGTGAATTTTTTGAGTCGACTCAAAACTAGGAAGAACTGGATGAGAATTGTGTTGAAGTGGGGTGAATTTTTTGAGTCGACTCAAAACTAGGAAGAACTGGATGAGAATTGTGTTGAAGTGGGGTGAATTTTTTGAGTCGACTCAAAACTAGGAAGAACTGGATGAGAATTGTGTTGAAGTGGGGTGAATTATACTTACGTACGTATTGGTTGTGGGGAGGGGGACATGCTGTGGTTGGTCACGACTTGTTGGGGGTGATTGGGCAATGTTGATGTACGTGGGGTGAACGTGCCGACTCGGTTTTGCACGTCCCATGATTGAAAAAAACGCGAATCGAAATGTCGGTATACGTGCGTACGAAAAGAGCGCGAACTTTTTTTTTTTTTGTCTGCCCGGCTTTCCGTATCGCGCATTTGTCCCCGTTTCACGTTTTTGCGTTTATACGTGAAGGCATAAACGTGAAACGAATAACACCCTAAGCGTATAGTGCAACATAGCTGTCCAGCATTTCTGTTTCCTAGCTCACTCACTGCTTACTTCCCCCATGCTTCGTTCCACCCCCCTCTACTTCCTCCACCCCCTGACTTCCCCGTGCCTACTCCATGATCTCTTTGCAACATGTGTGTGTGTGTGTGTGTGTGCGTTTGTGTGTGTGTGCGTTTGTGTGTGTGTGCGTTTGTGTGTGTGTGCTTGTGCTTATGCTTGTTTTTGTGCTTGTGCTTGTAATGCAAACGATGCTGGCATGGCTCAACGCTGCAGGGAAACACATGAGGAGGGAGAGGGTGAGGAAGAAGACGAGGAGGCGGACAATCAGCAACTGCTGCGGCAGCAGCGGTGTTTCGGCCTGTTGTGCGGCCTGGGTGGAAATTCTGGCGCAAGTTACAAAACAGGCAAGGGCGGCAAGAATCGTCTTGACATTGATGACAATGGTGGTATTGAAGGAGGCAGGGATAGTGATGGTAGAGCTAGTGCGGGGAACGAGGAGGGTGGAGGTTCAATTGTGGGCTCTGTTGATGCTGGCCTTGGTCCCTCCTCCAATCCCTTCTCACGTGTTCCTGCCACTTCAACCAGCTTCAGCGGCAGCAGCAGTAGCAGCAGCACCGTCACAACCGCCGCCGCTGCTGCTACAGCCCAAACCGTTAAGAGCAGCGCTGGTTGCCTGCCTCTTTTTGAACCGCCACCCACCGCATCCCACCGCGCCTCTTCGTCTCGCACCGATCCATCTCCCGCACCTGGCAGTGGCACTTGTAGCCCTTCAGGCAGAGCAGTCTCTGGTGTTACTGCATCGTGCCTAGGGGGCCCTGTCTGGCCTGATCCGTCCATTGGTCTGGGCAGTGCAGCGTGCGTGGGGATGTCAGGCAAGGGAAGCAAGCGGCCGGAGGTGCTAGAGCCGCTGCTGGAGGAAGGGAGTGAGGAGGAGGGGAGAGGGGAGGAGGAAGGGGATGGGGAGTTGGGTGGTGGTTCGTGTAAGGATGAGACTCAACGTTCTGCTGCTGCTGATGCTGCTGCTGTGGTTGAAGGGGATGCGGTGTGTTATTCTAGATTTGATGCTGCTGCTGCTGCTGCTTCTCCTTTTGTTGTTGTTGCTGCTGCTGCTTCTCCTTCTGTTGCTGCTGCTGCTGCTGCTGCTGCTTCTCCTTCTGTTGCTGCTGCTCCTTCAGGTGCTGCTTCTGTTTCGGATGCTGCTTCTGCAGCTGCTGCTTTGGGAGAAGTAGTAGCAGGAGGGGCAGTGGCAGCAGGAGCGGCACCATCAGAGCTGCATGTACCCATGTCAATAGGCAGTGTTGGAGAAGCACCAGCAGAAAGAGGAGCAGCAGGGGAAGGAGAAGCAAACACAAAAGCAGATGCAGAGGCAGAAGCAAAAGCAGAAACAGCTGGATCAGCCATTACTACCACCACTGCTTCTGCTGCGGCTGCCACTGCTGCCACTGCTTCTGCTGCTGCTACTGCTGCCACCACCGCCCCTGCTGCAAACTTTTCTGCCAATGCACCTACAAGTGATCATGGGACATCCAGGTTAATTCCAGGTTTACCCCCTGTAAGCCTTGGGTCACCCAGTATCGTATCCTCCCTAGGTGGATCCCTCTACAAAACAGCCAATCTACTCCCTAGAGTGCCCAACTCCTCTAAGAGCATAAGTAATCCGCCTTCTACTGATGTGGTCCCAGTGGCACTGCTACCGGCTGGTATGCCAAGTGTGGGAAGCGTATCCAGTGTGCTTCCTGGCTTGGCGTCTGTACAGCGAATTATAGAGTCATCGCAGGAGGGTGTGTCCTCCGTGCAACGCACCATGGACGATCTGATGGATAAATTCAACAAGGTGAGGTGAGAAGAAAGGTTAGGTTCAACAAGGTGAGCATGTTTTTTGCATCACATTTGAGAGAACTTTCAAAGGCATCCATGCAGCGTTCAATGGAACGCACGATCTGATCTGAGGGATAGATTCAACAAGGTGAGCACCTCCAGGTGCCTCAAAGGCCAACTTTCCTCTTTTTGAGGCGCCTCAAAAGGTTTCCATGCAGCGGACAAAAGGACAACATAAGGACATGGACGATCTGAGGGATCAATTCAACAAGGTGAGCACCTTCGATCTCCCCTCCTCTTCCATCCGCACTCTCCTCGTCTCCCCTCTCCCTTCCCCTTACCTCCTGCTCTTCCCTCGCTTCTCTGCACTCCTCTTTCCTCTGTAAGCGTGTGCAATGCCGCAGGAATGATCTGCCAGTATGTAGTCGGTGCTCGTTGAGGCAGCAAGCCCACTCCGCCGCTTCCCTTCCGAGGCACCTCAATAGTCTAGTCTCCCTCTCCTCTTGGGCTCTGTGCAGGGCAAGGAGTGGAGAAATTGAGGCGCCTCAAAAATAATCTAGTCTCCCTCTCCTCTTGGGCTCTGTGCAGGGCAAGGAGTGGAGCCGGGAGCGGCACCTGGACCGTGCAGAATCTTAGCTCGGGTGTGCGAAGCCCATCAATCTTCAGAGCCCAAAACATCCTCTCCCCTCTCCCCCACCTGACAAAATGCAGGGCAAGGAGTGGAGCCGGGGGCGCTACTTAGACCCAAAGAACATCCAGAGGCAGCAAGCCTACTCCGCCGCTTCTCTCCTCCCTGACTTCTCTTCCCCAGGCAACTCTATACGAAAACGCTCCAGCCCGTCAGCGCGCAGCTCTGGTGTCTTTGCTTCGGCCGGCTCTGCTTCTGCCTCTGTGTCTGCTGCCGAGTCGCCTGTGGCTGCCTCGCCTTCCCAGCGGCATCGGCGCCGCCCCAGCTGGGGATCCGTGCAAGGCTCGACTTTTGAAGCGCCTCTGAACCCTGTGTCTGCCTCGCCATCTCGGCACCGGCGCCGTCCCAGCTGGGGATCAGTACAAGGCTCGCCCGGTTTTGCTTCCAAGCGCCCTTCCACTGCTTCTGGATCCTTCTTCCATGCATCCAGTGCCAGCGGTGCGTCCAGTGCCGGCAGTTGTGGTGATGCTGGCGATGCAGACGCTTCTCTCGCCATTGCCTCTTGTTCCGATCAACCTTATTCCTCCTCCGGACACCTGATTTCTCTCACAGCTGACCCTCGTTCTGCAAGCCCCTCCACTGCTTCTGACGTCTTCTTCCGTGCTCCCAGCGCTGGTGTTTCTCCTGCTGCTGCTGTTACCAGCACTGGTGGTTCCCCCAGTGCACCTAACTTCCACTCCTCAGCTAGTTCTGGCAGCACGTATCCTGCTGGTAGTTCCGGTGGTTGTGACGCTGCTGGTCATGCAGACATGCCCAAAAGAGAAAGGCGGACAAGCAGTATCCTGCCTTTTTCGGCGTCACTACCTGCCGAGCCTCGCCCACCGGAAGCTGAACCCTATGCACTGGAAGCAGTGGCGCAGCTGGGGGAACCAAAGAGGAGAAGCATCACCTTTGGTATGGAGGAGCAATCAGACTCTCCGACTCACTCACCCCTGACACTCTCGCAATCCCCTCATGCGGAGCAGCAGCAGCCGCATCATCTGCCACTGCTGCGGCAGCAGCTGCCACCGAAGGCATCGTATGGGCGGCTCAACTCTCCTCTCGTCAACTCTCAGGCAGTGTCAAGCCAGGCCAGCCAGGAGCAGCAGCAGCAGGAGCAGCAGCAGCAGCAGCAGAGGAACCAGGCTGGCAGGCTGCGTAAGACTGCTCGTGTTCATCGCCGGAGTGCATCGTATGACGTCACACAGAAGCCAGGAACGAGGTGAGTCTGTGGGAATGCTGCTGGCTGTGCTCACCTGAATTTGTCTGCCAATGCCTGTTCACCCAACCGTCATGTGTTCCTTGCTTATCCGTTTTTTTCCTGCAAATCCTGTCTTGTGTTGTATTGTTTGATTTGCAGCATCAAGGGGGAACAGGGGACGAGGTTAGCAAACCTTGACAAGGTTTTATCACCGGGATCTACATTCGATGCCAATGCGAGCGTCCAGCCCAAGTACAAGGGCGTTCAACGAGTCCGTGCCTTCCGTCTCTCGCCGTCACCTCAGCCCAATTCCTAAGTTTTTATTTGCAATCCTTGGCTTACGGGCTACAACCTTTTTGTAAAAATGTAACTGTGTTGGCCCTGCCTGGCTGACAACACTGTGTTGTGCTTCTGCACTTGGTTGGTCCCTACAACATACCGTATTCTCCCGGACATAACACCCTAGGGTATAGCTAAAAATACAGGGAAAAAATGGGGGGGGGTCTCCTCATAGGAAAAAAATATATAATACCCGGGTCTTATTATATTGCACATTTTTTTATAAGAAGAAATGAATGGAAACAAAAACAGGGGTCCGGCCTTTTTTTTTTTTTTTTTTTATCAGGGCCGCCAAACCGCGTCTACGAGGATAACGTCGGCCTCCACTGGAATCTGCCACATGGCAAATTCCAGTGGGCCCACTGTGCCACCTGATAGGTTGACATCAGTGCCAACCTCGCGCAGCTTGGGTTTATGCAGTACGAGGCCGGAATCGCGCACGGTGCTGTGTTGCCACTGTACCTGTGACCCCTTGACTGCCGTGTACGGTAGTCACGTCCAAGCTTCCTCACCCAAGCTTGCTCTTCTCTTCGTCAAGCGGTTCCAGTGCACGTCTTTGACAAGTGCTCGGCAGGCTGTGAGAGCGTCTCCTTCCTGTGCACGAGGGTATCGTCTTTAAAGTCATTTCTCCCATGGCGAGTGACATCGACCTGCCTTAGTTCCCAAGCATGGCTTCATCTCCAGATTCTAGCAGTACGGTAGATAGGCGGCAGCGGCCTCTTTCCACCAATCAGACTAGCGCTTCTGCACGCGCACGGACGTCTCCTCGCCCGATCTTTCCTCAGCCGGATGCTCCCGGTAGTGCTTCTACCAGGGATGAACCGAGCAGTAGCTTGGACCGTCCTCGCCCTACCCTTCCTCGAGTGGTTGTCCCCACGTTCCCGGAGCGGAACCGCCCGCAGGGACAACAGAAGCGCAACGCCGATGGTGACCCGCCATCCCCTCGCCATCGCATGACGAAACGCCAGCGCAAGGGAATCACCGCGAAGGAGAAGCTCCACTGGTTGAAGATGCAGGACTCGCAGCCCGACCTGTCGAATCGCGCCCTGGCGAAGCTCGCGAAGGTGCAGCCATGCCAGATCCGCGATTGGAAGAAGATGAGGGAGCGGCTGGAGGTCTCTTCCAGCTGCCGTCGTCGCCTCATGGGAGCTGGCCGCAAGTCCAAGTTCCCTTTCATGGAACGGGCGGTCTACCGCCAGTTCCTCAAGCACTGGGGGAGGGGGCTCGCCGTTTCGGTCAGCATGCTCCAGAAGTGGAGCGCCAAGTACATGAAGCACCGGATGCCCGGGGTCAACTGGCGCGCATCGTTCCGCTGGGCGACTCGTTTCCGCGCGCGCTGGCATCTGGCGAGGCGGGTGAAGACGAAGATGGGACAGAAGTTGGCAGCGGGTAAGTGTTGCGCCGTCGTGCTCCTTGATTGCCATCTCAGTGCTGAGCTAATGTGTCTCGTGGCTTTGCTTGCAGATTGCAAGGCCAAGGTGGAGTCCTTCTGGGAGTTTGTGCGCCAGATGCGCTCTCTGCACGACTACCCGCTTGACCTCATCTTGAACGCGGACCAAACCCCGCTTTTCCTGGAGATGCCGGCGGAGCGCACGTTCGAAATGAAGGGAGCGCGGACAGTTCACGTACGGAGTGCGGGCTATGAGAAAGGAGCGTGTTACTGTCATGCTGGCAGTAACTGCGAGCGGGCTCAAGCTGCCGCCGTACGTGGTGTTCAAGCGCAAGACCATACCGAAGGTGCCCATCCCTGCCGGTAAGCGTAGCACGTTTAGGATGATGTCACTACTCTAGCCTGTCAACAGTCGCAACCGAATTTGACCCTGACGTACCGGTATTCTTTGGCAGGTGTGGTGGTCCGTGCACAAGACAAAGGGTGGATGGACGAATCACTTGTGCAGGACTGGATCTCCCAGGTGATGGTACCGTTTCTGAAGCCCTTGCGTGAATCAACTGGACGCCGCAGGGAGGCCTTGGTTGTGCTCGACTCCTACCGCGGCCACTTGACTGAGGCGGTCGGGCAGACCATGCGGATGTTTCGGCTGTCACGGGCTGTCATCCCAGGGGGCTGCACTCCGCTAGTGCAACCTCTGGATGTGTCGATCAACCGCGCGTTCAAGTGCGGTGTGCGTCATCGCTACAGTGGCTGGTTCGAAGAAGAGGGCATCAACACCACCACCAAGTCCGGTGAGTTGAACCATGACATCCGCATGTGTAACTTTGAATCAATGTCGGCTTACGCTCTGGAAATTCACATTTGTCCTTCTCTACCCTTCCCCGTCCCTCAGGCAATCTCAAGAAGCCGCCAGCGGAGTTGGTGCTCCGCTGGATCGATGAGTCCTGGGAAGCAATCCCACAGGAGCTCGTGAAGAAGGCGTTCGTCACGTGTGGGATCTCCACCCCCATCAATGGCAGCGAGGACCACCTCATCCTTGCCCACATGCGGGACAAGGGTGAGGTGGAAGTCCTTGACGACGTCAACGACCTAGTTGACGACGAGCTCGTCGTCAACCCCTTCTACGCCGAAGTCCCCATGCCGGCCGAGGAGCTGCAGGCGGCGGCAGAGGAGGCTGACGCCGCTGAGGAGGACGCGGAAGCGGCGGCGGCAGAGGAGGAGGGGGGCGTGCTTGAGGAAGGCGGGGAGGCAGAAGAGCCCAGCGATGACGAATGGTGGCGCCCTGGCCGCTTTGACGGGGAAGACTGTGAAGAATGGCATGCAGGAGACGATTCTGAGTAGAAGGCACTTTGTATAGAGTTTTTTTAGGTGAAATTGTGGATGTGAGGTGCTCTTGTGGTGATGTTTCTGCAGTCTAGGTGACATTGTCGATGACTATGTGCTGGCACATTACTTCTGTAGTACCTGTGAAGTACCCTGTATGCAATGTACAGTAAGCAAATTCAGTATTTTTGCCGCCCAGAACACCCCCCCCCCCCCCCCCCCCCCCCCCCGGGTCTTATAGAGAATCAGGCAAAAAGGGGGGTATAGTAGAAACGAGGCTCCCCATAACACCCACCCCGCACAAGCTACCCGGGGGTGTACAATTATGGGGGGGTGTTTTGTCCGGGAGTATACGGTATGACAATATTTTTTATGAATTGGTTGATGCGATGCAAGCAAGTGGTAGTAGTGTGAAGGTGTGGAGAGGGCATTATCAGTGGCCATAGAGGTAAGGGAAGTTATATTGCTCTTGGCGCAGGTCTAGCGGATTTGCCAGAGAAAAAACGTTGGTTAAGCTCGTCTGGTCGAGCTCGTCTAGACCCACGCGGAAGCGGTGCAAGCTTGCGCCGAGTAAGACAACCCCCACCGTCCCATGGGCTAGGCTCGGCCTGCCCGTGAAACAGTTCTCTGCCCAATGAGATTCGTGCGTGAAGTGTAACCGGCGAGGCACATGCTCTCGCGAGCGTCAGTGTGCAGACGTCAATTGACGTCCAGTTTCCGCGCAAACGGTTGCGACGTGATCTTTGCGACCATGTCGCAACTAGTTTGCGAAAACATCAGTATCGAGAAACTCGATACTGAGGTTCGTGTTTGAAATATGTTTAGGGTGAAATTTGTTAATATGCATACCGGTTTATACACTACAAGTCCAGCCGTCGGTATAACAGCTCGTTTCAAGCACAATGGCAACCGGAATATGGAAACGTGGAACAGTTTAGGGTCCACTAGAAAACATAATTTTGTCGGATTTTTCGATCGCGACATAGTGCTTTTACTAGTTTCGTAAAAGCCGCAAGCCAATTCCATACCGTTTTGTATAATCTCAAATATGGCCACAACCCGTGTTGTGTGATCATATTGGATCACGTTTTCTATTGCGCGCCAATAGTGATCCACGTGGCCGAGCCACTCTCGTCTCTGCGGGAGGGGTGTGGCTCAGAGTTACGCAAGTGTGGAGGAGCCAAGCGGGTGCTCAGACACGGGCGGGAAAAAACACCAGATCTGGGGTGTGGCGACCAGATGTAGAGAAATTGTGGCGGGAAGAGAGGATGCAGTAAGAGATTGTGGAGCTCGTGCCCTTGTGGTTGAGCCCCAAAATGCTCTCAAAGGACTCATATGTATGCCATTTCACTGATTGCTTCTTGAAGGTTCAACACATTTTTCTTGAGTTCATCAGCCATGCATGATTTCGTACCTACAACCCAACATGGCATGATACATTGCGTCGTTCCGAAATGCACACACACGCACTTGTCGCTGTGATCTTTTTAGTGCTCTGGACAATGTTGGTATTTTAGAGGAACAACAAAACTCTGACAGGTGTAGGTATTTTTTTAGCTTCAAAACAACTCTGAAAAAGCATTCATTTCGGATCAGCATTGTACTCGACGCCAAGGGGTCACATTCGTAGTTTTTTTGTTCCCGAAACAACTCTGCACACGAGACTCTTTTCAGCACAGCATTCTCCTCTACTCCTAGTTTCGCTGGCAGTCCATCTCATTCTCTACGCGCTGGTATAGATTTCGCGTATCTAACAAAAACGATTCAGGACAGATTTCGTGGACTAGGTGAGGCATACAGTCCTCTGAAAAAGGTACTCTGTGATGGAGATCGATGGTGGTACGGGTAATTTGCTTAGTGCAGCTTTCGAGGACAATGAGCAGTTTTTTTTATCTCGAAGACAGCCAACTGCCGCATGCCTCGATAGATCTAACCGTGGACCAAGATTGGGACGAGGAGTTTGCACCAGC